AAAGTTGTTCATTATGATTTTTAGCTTTTGCCATCGTCGCGAAAAGACGCTTGTGGGCAAACACATGCTCGGAAGATTGTATGGTATGGCGTTTACTTTTATGAATGAGTCAACATCGCTTGTTAAGTAAGCCTGCGTTCATGAATGAAAATGTTGTTGATGTGATTTCTATAAATCGCTTCGACACATTGATTCTCTGAAATGAAAGCAAAAAACGAAATTTCATGAAGCAATTAGTATACATATTTACATACATATGTATATGTTGTAGGTGACAGATATACAAAAAGTATCGTTCTTTCATATTTGTTTAGATGCACATATTATTATATACATATATTTATATATATGAGCATTAGACTGCTTTTTTTTTGAACTATTTTTCGATCCCATGGGAAATTTTGTTGAAATACCAAAAAAAATTCCTAAAAATTTGGGACTTTAATTTTTAATAAGTACTAGACCTAGGCCTGTAAAGATTTCCCATATAAATACACGTAAACTTGATTTTTCTTTTAATTTTATAACTCAGCGGCAGTTGATGGACTATCTCACCGTCATTAGGTATTCCTCAAAATTGAACGCTCTACAAAAGTCTCCATTGCGGTAAAGTTATAACTTCACCTGCGGGTAGTACGGGCCCCAAACCTAATTTTCCATGAAATTCGCGTTTTTGGAATTATCTCGTAAACAACACTAGATACAGAAAATTGTTAATAAATTGTTAAGTTGAAGTAGTATGGAATTTTATGGATTTGAAACTCAGGTGAGGTCATACCACTTCAACTTAAAATCTCTGTATCTCAAAGAGTATTAAAATTATCGATTTGGTGCAAAGACTTTTTGTAGGAAATTAAATTTCCTACAATTTTATTACCGCGCAGGTGCGAGTTATAACTTTACCGCAATGGAGACTTTTGTAGAGCGTTCAATTCTGAGGAATACCTAATGACGGGTGAGATAATCCCATCAACTGCCGCTGAGTTATAAAATTAAAAAGAAACAAGTAAGGAAGAGCTAAGTTCGGATGTAACCGAACATTTTATACTCTCAAAGTCAAATGGTATACTCGTTTGAGATTTCTTTGTGGATTATGATATTTTCGGTAGAAGGTCAACTATAGGCACTGGGTCCACATATTTAGTATAGAGGGCTTGAACAGTTTTGGTTCGATTTAGACAATTTTTGGTCACAAGGTGCATACTTTAAACGTATTATTCACGCAAAGTTTTACCCGATATAATCATTGTGCTTGATATGCATAGTGGAAAGTAAATCAATGGTATTTAAAGGTCATATGGAAAATAGGCTGGTTGTAGTCCGATTTGCCCATTTTCGCACTATGACATAAAACATGAAAGAACGTTACGCACCGAATTTGGTTGAAATCGTTAAGCAGATCTCAAGATATGGGTTTTCACCTAAAGTGGGCTGTCAGCCACGCCCACTGTCTTATGAACGCGGTTCCTATAAAGTCATCTTATACCATCTCAGGATAAAATTTAATGTCTCTGGCGTGTTTAGTGCTTGATTTATCGCGCTTTAGTAGTTTTTAACAGTACCGTTATATGGGGAGTGGGCGGAGTTGCCACCCGATTTCAACTATTTTCACACCGTCAATAGAAGTGCTAAAAACATTTGCTTCCAGTGAATTTTGTTATTATAGCATTAGCGGTTTAGGAGATATGCACATTAAACTATTAGAGGCGGACCACGCCCACTTTTAAAAAACTGCAGATGCCCCTCCTAATGATCCTGTGTACCAAATACAGTCTTGTATCTTTGCGGAGCTTAGTTATGAAGTTATTTGTTTTGATTAATGGCGTTTTGTGGGCGTGCAGTGGTCCGATTACGCCCATCTGCAATCAATAACCGTCTCACGGTACCATGAAACATGTCTACCAAGTTTCATAAAGATATCTCAATTTTTACTCAAGTTAGAGCTTGCACGGACGGACAGACGGACGGACGGACGGACGGACAGACAGTCACCCGGATTTCAACTCGTCTCTTCATCCTGATCATTTATATATACATAACCCTATATCTAACTCGATTAATTTTAGGTGATACAAACAACCGTTAGGTGAACAAAACTATTATACTCTGTAGCAACAGGTTGCGAGAGTATAAAAAAATCAAGTTTTACGTGTATTTTATATGAGAAATCTTTAAAGGCCTAGGTCTAGTACTTAATATTAAAATTAAAGTCCCAAGTTTTTAGGGAATTTTTTTTTTGGTATTTCCAACAAAATTTCACCATGGGATCGAAAAAAAAATAGCTCAAAAAAAAAAAGCAGTCAAATGAGCATATGTGCGATCGCTTGGTCTTTTCAGATGTTATCAAAGCTTTTAATGATCAAAGCAAATAAATATATTATATGAATATGTGCCATATACTTATGTCCTGTGATACCAAATATATATATGTAACTCCCTTCGCTCCCTTTTTTTCATTTTTCCATTACCATTCCGATTTGCCAAAAATAAAATTGAAATTGATCATGCCATTTCAATACCCTTAATAGAATATTATTCCAAAAATTATTAATTTAATGTCTACGATATGAAAATAAGTTTCACTTTTACTGTGGTTTCATAAAACCACACAATAGTTTTTTTGATATATATTTTATTTGTACAATGAGTTAAACAATAACAAATATACATACGGTGGTTTTACAATAAATTACATTTCGTTTTTTTATCGTTAGGTTATACGGCTAAGGTATTGCGTAATGTTTTACGGACTCCGTATGTATGTATGGTATATTATGCCATATGACAAACTATTCGATTGTGTAATCAAATTCAATTATTTCCTAAAATAATTAAAACTTTAGCGTCAAAAAGTTGTAAACTAAGGTCTTGTGAAGTCTAAGCCATAACAGCTTGTCTCAAATATGTACATATTTATTTCTGATAAAAATTCAAAGCTTAAAAGCAAGTAATATCAACAAATAACGAGGTCTTAGAACTAGGCAACACCAAACATTAGATCAAACTGCTACATCTTAATATAAACAATATAATATATGTGGGTCACTGTATATAGTACTTCTTACTAATTACATCGCAGTTCGCTAAGTTTTGAATAATTAGTTTACATATAACTCTATGATTATGACACAGATATAAGAAAGCAACTGCAATATGGGTATTGATGTAGTTAATATCGACTTTAACCGTTTTGGTTCTGTTTCATATGATGTTCATATGGTGTTACCAATCATTTTTTGCTTTGTTAAAGGGTGGTGAAAGTAAAGTACAGATACATCGGTTGAAGTTTCGGCTCAAGCCCGAGCAAGGGCAGTTTTCAGGGTTTCACTGCTGCTTTGTCACATTTGCGTATTTTCTTTTCTCGAACGTTCCTTATATGTTTAATCCGATTGTTATATGGTGACTGTGATTTTAGTTAGTTTAGTGCCTCCAGGGCATTACACAGGTGGGCTCACGAATCGTGCTACAAAAACAAACCGTAATACCTTTTTTTCTGTGTGAGTAATCGACTTACTTTTTTATATTTTTAGCTGGTTATTATTAAAGTTTCTTAAAATTAATGCTTGGGATACCGAAAATAGGGTTTAGATAGTGCAGTGGTACCATGCTTTGCAGTCCGTAATTTCTGCCCAAATGGGATTCAGACGAGATTTTGGCGGTATACCCCGAGTCGATGGACCATTATAAGGTTGGTAAACATGTTCGCCGAATCTAGAAGTATCGCAAGAAGACCGTAACATCGAGATCCGTATGTTCGTGTTCAAAAAACAATCGCAGCTATTGCATTGTCAATTCAAGCAAATCCAAGAGTTTCGACTGGAGTTAGCAAACGGTCTTAACAACGGATAATTAATGATGACGTAAACCGGAAATGTAAATAAGCAAATTTGTCGTATACGGAGTGAATCAAATCCAGAAATACTCTACGAGACGGAACTTTACCCAGAACGAGTCACTGTGTGGTGCGCAGTTTCATCACGGTGTGTTGTCGAGTCATACTTCTTTGCAGAAAACGGTGTAGCAGTAAGTATTAAGGGGCCCCGATATTTAAAGATATCGAATGAATTTTTTTACCCAGAACTACGCCGAAGACGTATCTCTTTCAATAGCGTTTTGTTTCAGAAAAATGGAGCAACTGCACACATAGCCAGATTTTTGAGGAGCTCCAACGAAGATTAGAAAACAAATTGATGTCAAGAAACTCCACTTTCCGCTGGCCTCCAAGGTCGCCTGACCTGACTGCATCAGGCTTAGGTCAAGCAAGAGGTTGACAAAGCAAAACCTTGAAATGACTGAATTGAAGCAGTCCATTAAATCGGCAATTGAGGCAATCCTGACGTCAACTCAGACCGCAATGTATACTTTTCTGAAAAGTTTTTTTTTTAATATTTATTTATATTAAAAAATATACAATAAAAATAAAAAAATGTAATGCATTAATAAAAAAGTAGTTATGACGGTTTATTTTTGTAGCACGATTCGTAAGCAACCCTATGTAAAAGCCGTGTGTTTTGGATCGTTGTCTTGTTGAATAAGCCAATGCTTCCGAATTAGTATTTGATTTTCTACTCTAGATCGGTCATCACTTTCAAAAATATTATACTTAATTCTCATTTCCAAAAATCCATACCTTTTTGCCAAATTTGACAAAAACGAAAGGTGCATGCATTCCTTTACCCTGTATGAGTAATTTATAATTGCACATGGTACTAATTAACTAACAATCAAATAAAGATTTAAGACAGATAACGCAATTTTGGCTTCTAATCTTGAATTGAATTTATTTACACCTACTAATTAGGTTATTGTAAATTAATTATTATTTCACAAAAATGTATCTATATCAAATTTTTGTTCTTAGATACCGGGCGAGTTTTTGATCTTACTCATGTTGCATATGTGTTAACGTTCATTAGCTTACAAAAGTTAACAGGTTATTCCAGAATTGCAGACATAGACTAAATATTAAAAATAAATTACTAATACACATAAAATCACTCTTACTTTTAATAAAATTTTAATGTTACTTTAAAATTGCCCTTTTTATCTGGTAAATCGATATGTATTAAGGTGCTCGGTTGGATGTACTTCTGATGTAGAAAATATTACTTATATATATACATATTTATGTATGTATGTATGTACATATGCTACATAAGGCTATGTATATTAGTTACACAAGACGAGCTGCATCTTTGCCAGCTTGCATCTTAATTTCCACTTTCTCAAACTTCTCGATTAATTTGGTTTGGGCATCCTTATTCGCCTTTTTCATCATGTCTGTCTGATGGCACATATATATAGATTTCTTTTTGCGCTCTCTTTCAAAATGTAGCTTAACATAATTTATTGGAATAGTTACGCATTCATCGGGCGTACCTTCCGCATCTATGAAAACCCCACGCACTAATATTGAATTTGAGCATTTCAGGGCAGCAAGCACAAGGAATGGTATTAGATGTGTTAACCAATAGCTTAGTATTTTATTGTCTGCAAATAAAAGAGACGTCATTGAAATCAATAATAGAATTATAAATTTGTATGTATGTGCTATGTATGGTATGTATGGTATGTATGTTTAAAATTTTCTAAATCTAATTGATTCTATCATAAAGTCTACTAGCTTTTAATAAATTTATCGTAAGCAGTCCTACTCTTTGAAAACAGTCAATAAAACTTTAATAACATTAAACGAGATCGTCAAAGAAAGAACTTTACCTTTATTTTTAAGAGAACAAGAATGGATTAATATATGAAGAATGGATATATATTTTCACAGGTGCATTTTTTTAGCAACTATATGTAAAACTAATTCTGACAAAACCGCTGGCAGGAGTTTGAATCCAGCAAAACGGTTAACTACTTCTTTCTAGCCGCGTTGTTAGATATAAACAACATTCAAGTCGAATAATTTCCGACAAGTGGGCAACTCTTAGGAAAAAAAGGATCGATATCTCAAGAAATGAGGGATTAAATACAAGTACTTGTAGTTCGAGTAAATACCGATAGACGGAAATGCCTAAATCGACTGAGACATTGAAACTTTGCACAAAGAGTGCCTTTGTGGTGTGCCACCTTATGACCAAAAATATTCAGGCCTCCAGAAAGCGAATATGTGGACGCCAGTTCCTATTGCAAACGTTTTACCGAAAATACCGGTCTACCTGTCAGATATATTATGGAAGTTTAAAAATAGCTCCTCCTTATTTGTTTCTCTGCTATTACTGTTTCCTTGTATAAAAATTGGGAAAAGTAGGTCAATAGTTTTCCTATCCCCCATATACCTTATATAAAGATTTTCGAACTTTCGGTTGATTTTATATCGCTAAAATTTAAGAAATCCCAATGAAATTCAGAAAAAATATCCTTCTTATAACAGTGTGTTCTTGTGCCTTAAATGTATAAAATTGAGTGAATGCTTTCCCTAATCCCCTCATATCTAATATAAGAATTTTAAAACCTTAGTCGTGGCCAATCTGTGAGAATTTTTAATAAAATTCGAGAGCATTTATTTCATGTAATGATATGTTGTAATACCAAAATTGGATAAAATCGGGTCAATATATCCCCTAGCTATATATGTACATATATAGCCTGTATAGGAATTTAAAACTTTCGGTTGACGGTGAATATCGGTCAATATGTAAGATATCTCAATTTTAAAAGTAAGTGAACGTATAGTATTGGATATTCAATACTATAGTTTAATGCCAAAAATGTGTAAAATCGGTTAACGAATTACCGCAGGTCTCCTGTACTACATGTAATGATTATTAATGTTGAATTTTTACGCTACATTTTATAATATACAATTTAGGAAGCACCTAAAAGAATTTTCCCCGTGGCCCTGAGATTTTGGATTTTACCTAAAAGTAATTTCTTAGTGTCGCACTTTTAGCAAATTTCAAAATAACCCTTATATGGGGAATGGACGTGGTCATAATCAGATTTCACCAGGTTTCACTGCGTATAAAGAGGAAAAAGAGAGGTTTCTTCTCAGCAATTTTGGTTGAAATAGCTTTAATGGGTTGTGAAATATGTATTGGTGCCTCTCTCTACTACGATACCGACAGACAAACAGTTAATCGGATTTCAACTCGTCTCGTCATTCTTCTCAATTATATATATATATACATATATAACTCTATATCTATTTGTATTAGTTTTAAGTGACACCGTTTCGTGAACAAAACTGATATATATATATATAACATGTTGCGATAGTATACATATGGCAAATGTCAATTGCCAAAAAGCGCTCGAAATTCGGGCCTCTAGACTAGAATATCGCTTAAATGTAACATGTTTTTGTTGGTGTTTTTAGTTACTAGCTTTGTAAATTAATATTTTGTTACAAACTCCAATATAAGATTGACAAGATATAAAATTCAACGTTTTAAGATAATGTATTCTTAATATCAATTCTATGAACATTTTTATCAATTGTTTTCAAATTTTGACCTCAAGTTAAAATTTAAAGTACGGGGTTTTTATATCGCTATAATGCTTTCGTCTTAGTTCGTAAACAATAATTTTACTGTGTTTAATAGTTTATATTATACAATTTACTATATTTAGTTAGTTTCTTCTAGTATACGTACATACTTGTATGTATATGTTTTTGTCTCATATTAAATAATTATCTTAACATTTTTTGAGCAATATCAACTTGCTTACTTTATACTTACCTGGATACACGTAAATATCCAACAGGTTCCATATTCCTCGCCATGCGTTTACAGCTCCAAAAAATATTAAAAAATAGAACATGTCACAAATAATTAATTTACACATTCCGTCAATTTTCTTGCATATGCAGCGTATAATAGGTTTGATAACGAATGTTATGACGACGATTATGTAGCCAAGAATCTTAAAAAAGATTTAAATTATTTTAGAGAAGTAAAAGGATTTATAAAAAAATTTCATGTACTAATAACTAAACTAAGTTAACAAATATATAAATATATATCTATAAGCCATTTTCGATTTTTAAAAAGACTTCATCAAATGTTATCAATCTTATCAATGATTTTCACGGTTTATTTCGACCCGAACTTTTTGTTAAGCGAAAAAAATGGCGAATATATTCGAACGACAGCAAGAGCCAATTCAACAGATTTGTACGCTATGTTTTGGGAGGCGAGGAGAGGGAAGGTAAATTAAAAGAAGTTAGGAAGGGCAAAGTACGGATGTAACCGAACATTTTAGACCCCTGAACTTTATTTTTTGACAAAAATTATTTTCAAGAAGTAGCGAAAGGGTTTAATTTTAATGTATTGAATTGATGCAAAAGACGGCAACCAAAGAATCGAGATTCAGAAGAAGCGTCGTTTTATAACTAAGGATGAGACTAGGAACGTGGACTGAAGTTGGTTGTTCAGTTCCAAAGCAGGTGAAGTCACAACGATCGGCAAAGAAGGTTATGGCAGCGGTTTTTTGGCATACAAAAGAAATTTGGTTGATTGATTATCTGCAGAAAGGTAAAACAATCAACTCTGAATATTATTGCAGCCTTTTGGATCAGCTGGATGAAAAAATTCGTTAGAAAAGATTTGGCTTGCAGCACAAAAAAAACATTTTTCATCAAGACAATGCACCTGCTCACAAAGGTATTTCGAGAAACTTTTCAACCTTATTAGGGTGGGTCAAAATAAAAAAACAAATGTGGTTTCTTTCGCTCCGTACTCTTAAAAATTAGTTGATATATACCTCTAAGAAAGGCTCTCCAATTGTAATCGAAAGGTCCTCCGCTTAACGGTTTTCTATTTTTTTTTCTTATTATCAGATAGAAAAATTCATATCTCGCTAACAACTTGAAACTTGCAAAAATATTTCGTTTTATAGATTTTGTAGGAATGCTCTACAAAATGATTGCTTACGGTTTTTTCGTAAACCTAACCGTTTAAAAGTTATTAAAAGTTAAAGTTTGAATATTTCAAAGAAAATTTGTTTTTCTCTTTTAAATTTTAAAACTCAATGAAACAAGTGAGGAAGGGCTAAGTTCGGATGTAACCGAACATTTTATACTCTCGCAAAGTTAAATGGTATATTCGTTTGAGACTTCTTTATATATATTAATAATTAGAAGTAGGAACTGTTGCCTTAGTTATTTACTTTTCACTCACTGTGAAAATAATTAGAGCAATTTGTAAACTAAATTTACTCTAATTATGAGAAATCGTTCTTGCGCTTTTTGTATACGCTTATAATTGATTTTATATAGAATGCATTACAACTGTATTGAGAAGTATGAAAAGAAATCGTTTTTGAACAATGAATAACATTTTTTATTTATTATATCGATATTATTATACATGTTTAGCTTAAAAATAATAAATACTAACAACTTTAAAAATGATATAATATTATTATATTAATTTGTATATAATATTTACAATATTAAACATAAATTTTTGTAGAGATTCTTATACATATATCCAAATTATATTTCTTTTTTCCTTATACTGTTTAATTTCTATCATATATTTATACAATACTGTCATATATAATAACAAATTATATATATAATTTAAATTTTCTTAATTAGATTATTTACATATTTTTCTTAAAATTGTCTTAAAAACTACTATCAAAATTCCTATACCATTCCAATTCGACTATATTTGGAAAAAAAAAAATGAAGAACTATTGCCCTAAGTCTGAAAACTTTAGTTCGAAATAAAGACACAAATACTGTCATGATAGCTGTGTACTGTCTCAAAAGTAATTGCATTTACACGGGAAGGATTCATGTTTGAAAATGCCCAATGAATTTGTGTACCGGCAGGTGTAGTTGAATATTCTGCACCAAGCAGGGAACTAAAGCTTTTTTCTTGGAGCAGATTTCTTATTGCAGTCCGTGTAGACATTAAACAAATGTTAAAATCTCCAACAATTAGCACATTTTGATTGCCTAACTCAGAAGTAAGGACTTCCTGAAGTTCTACAATTAATTGTCTGACAGAGAAAGCTGAATTTCTATATAGAACCAGAATATTAATACTGAAACATTTAAACAAAACCGCTTCTAAAACTTTGCGGCCAGAATAAATTTTCTTTACAGCCTTTGATTCTATAGAGCAAGCAATACTATGCTTTGCATATATTATAATGGCCCGTTTATTTCTGTTGGTTGTTTCCGTGCTATCTATCCTCAGCTCGTTAATTGGAGTAAATCCTGGTATATCAAAACTTTCGGATAACTCCAAGTTTCTACAAAACATAAAATATCTGAAGATAGCATCAAACAGTCGTTTTTTATATCATTAATGTGATCGTGAAGACACTGAACATTATGGAATAAAATTTGAAGTCCTGATGTTCGGGAAATCATAAAATTGAAACTTGTTGTCAAAGCTTTATTTGTGTTCAATTCCCTCAGTTCCCTAAATACTGAATCCGATTCAGAAAATTTGTTAGGGGGAATAAAATTTCCTATGATGAATAGACTTTCTGCAGAAGTAGCTGGACTACAAGCGACATATATTGAAGCTCTAGGCATTCTGGGTCGAGTATGAACTACAACTTTATTATATGTGGCACCCTGACTTTTATAAATAGTAATTCCCTCAGCCAGAACAACTGGAAACTGATTTCTTTCAATTGAAATTTGTTCATTTATTGTATATTGAAAAGATTTTAGAACTTTTTCAATTGGTGTCCAAGAACTTTCTAGAGAATGAGGCTTTTTTGATCGTGCTATCAAACCAACAGAAGGTTCCAAAATTTAATCCACAGAATTGTTGGAAAAGAACAATGGAAATCAATTTGCATAAGTTGTCCAGCTGCCCCATTAACCAAGCCATCACACGTGTTTATGTTCACTGTAATCATATATTTGGCGGAGGTTTTTAGTGTCAATTCATAGGGCAGTCCCTGCGTTTCAGAAGTTTTGAAAAGTTTAACTCTTTCCAAAATATTATCATTTTCATTTATACCAATTCCTTTAACTGAGTCTTTTGCAGTTGAAAGGAAAGCTTCTGTTGGGATTCGACTGAGCTTAAGGGCATTGAAATTATTTGTCTCTTCATTGGACCAAAATAAATGTATGGCATAATCGGGAACTTCTTCGAAATTAACTACTCGAGTTTCAATGAGTGATATGTCCTCATTTGTCATAGTACCAGATGCCATATGATTTAATGCAATTGCAAAGGCCTGATCCTCCCGTTGTCTCATTATCTCTGTTAATTCAAAGTATTTAAATAACTCCCACAAAGGGGAACCAACTAAAGTGCTGTATGCATCATTGGGATTAGGAGAGAATATCCACCTATCTCCAACAGGTGAAAGTTGCTTCAAATCACCAAACACTATAATCGGAATACCCCCGAAGGGGCTGTCTCTTTTGAAAATTTGTTTTAATCTCGCATCAACAGAGCTAAACATACGAGCACCTACCATCGATATTTCATCAATTATGATTAATTTTAAATCGATAAGTCTGGAATACAATGAGTTCACTGTGTCATTGCTAAGTGCCCTCAACTCTCTATTCAATTGATTAACAGGTAAAGAGAATATTGAATGAAGGTCATTCCACCTATTCCGAATGCTACTTTACCCGTAGGTGCGCAAAGAAGAATTTGGATTGGATCCAGGTGTAGAATTGTACCGATGGTTAAGAGCTTGATATATTGCAGATATCAAACGACTCTTCCCTACACCTGCACCGCCGCCAATGAACTCATAAAATGGGAGATTTGTTTTTAGGTGGTGCATCAAATGTGTCAAATAGGTTCTTTGCTTAGTATTTAGACTTTTAACTAAAGAAAATAATTCCTCAACTGGAATTAAAGGGGGTAGTTTAATAAGTCTAATATTTAAACTGTTGGCTTCCTCTTCCGAAATATCTTTAGAATCAACAGTTTTAGAGAGGATGACCAAAAGCTAAACCCACTGAGATATTGCAGCCGATAAAGTGATAAAGAAGGTTGGAAGCCCGAATTGGTGAATCATGGCGATTGCCTTTTTCTTCTCAGCTTCCCAGTGCGCAGGTGAGGATCTAACGCCTTTCAAAACCTTGTAACCATCATCGTGTTGAATCAAGTTTTGAACAAAGTTTTCGTTTAATAGATTTTGGGCCGTAACTCGGTTGCGACCTGAAAACTTTCTAAGGCAAATGGATGTACTATTCCTAATTTGTAGCAGTTCTAATTTTTTGTAATCATAGAACAACTTTGGAATGGTACACGCTCTTCTGTCAAAATTCAGAACGTATTATCTTGCTATACGTTTCAGAGCATGTACGTTTCTGCCCAACGTATATTGTTCCAAATGACAACTCTTCTGAATTATTATCTTATTATTCAATTGGTCTTTGTCCTTCACCTGGCGCTATAACTAAACGGTTATAGTCTAAGTTTTCTACAGGAATATTGTCCAAAAGAGTTTCTTGACCGCCTGGATTTAGCTCTGAAGGTAAAAGACCCGTGGGAATATTATTACCTGAGGGATTATCATGGGAAGTTTGTCCCGCATGAAAAGATTGAACCAATCGGGAATCCTCTGCAGATGCAACAAACGGAACTTCTTCTTGGTTATTAAATTCTGAAATCCAGTTTTCATTAATATGTATATTGTGCTCACGATACAGAGGGGTATTCACTAAGAACTGCAAAGCTTTCATAATTTTTGCGGGGCGTATGGTATCGATCATGTAATCATGATTGTATTCCAAACGCCTTCTTAAGTGAAATTGTATATCATGAGCCTCATCAAAGGACCTTGGTAGAGATGTCACAATATTATTAACAGAAATTGGTATATTAACAACAGCACCTTTGAGCCAACTCTGACCTTGACATCCTAATGGACGGATTGTCATAAAAGGCAATCTAGGCATTATGAGACGTTCTTCAATTGGGGTT